GGCAAAAATTTGTTGATTGAGGAAAACGCGGAAGACGAGACTGAGGAGATTGGCGAACCCGTGTATGATGATGATGAGACTGATGATGTGCTGTATGGAGATGGTCATAAGACTCTGGTCGTTCGCAAGAGTCTACTTACTCCCAAGGGCGATTCAGGGGACGATTGGTTGAGAACCAATATTTTCCATACGACTTGCACAGTTGCAGATAAAGTCTGCAAAATGATCATTGACAGCGGCAGTTGTGAGAATGTAGTGTCCGAGGAGGTTGTCCAGAAATTGCAGTTGAAGACGGACCGCCATCCTAAGCCATACAAGTTGTCATGGCTAAATAAAGGCAGTGAGGTAACAGTTGATGATGCCTCGTGTCTTTTTCAATTGCTAGAAAATATTTTGATAATGCCTGGTGTGATGTTGTGTCAATGGATACGTGTCATATATTGTTGGGTCAACCCTGGCAGTATGATCGCAGTGTCATTCATGATGGATGGAAGAATACATATTCCCTTAGCATCAAGGGAAAAAAGATTGTGTTGGCACCCCGGCGGGAAGGACTCACTCCTACCCCAGTAACCCATAATACTACTCTGCTTTCTATGTCCAGGTTTTTAGATGAGATTGATCATGGCGACGTGGTCTATGCCTTACTACCTTGCGAGAACAATGCAGTAGATGTGGATGCAGATTTACCAGTAGAAGTGCAGCGACTGCTAGCAGAATTCTCTAACTTGATGCCAGAGGATCTTCCTCCTGGGCTACCACCTATAAGGGATATTCAGCATCAAATTGACCTTGTTCCTGGGTCAAGTTTGCCAAATCGACCAGCATATCGCCTCAGTCCCAAGGAGGCTGAAGAGTTGCAGCGACAGGTGGAAGAGTTGTTGGAGAGGGGTTATATCCGAGAGAGTATGAGCCCATGTGCAGTCACTGCTCTGCTAGTGCCAAAGAAAGATGGTTCTTGGCGTATGTGTGTTGACAGCCGAGCTATCAACAGAATTACAGTTAAGTACCGGTTTCCAATTCCCCGTCTAGATGATATGTTGGATCAACTATCTGGTTCTAAGGTCTTCTCAAAAATTGACCTTAAGAGCGGTTACCACCAAATCAGAATAAGACCTGGAGATGAGTGGAAGACGGCGTTTAAAACGCCACAAGGGTTGTATGAGTGGATGGTCATGCCTTTCGGGCTATCCAATGCGCCCAATACGTTCATGAGATTTATACATCAGGTCTTGCGGCCTTTTATGGGGAAATTTATTGTAGTTTACTTCGATGATATCCTCGTTTATAGTCCGACATGGACTTCACACTTCGATCACCTCCGTGCTGTTTTTGAGATGTTGAAAACGGAGTGCTTGTTTGTCAATCAAAAGAAGTGTTATTTCTTCACTACTTCTGTGACTTTTCTTGGTTTTGTTGTGTCTACTGATGGTGTTCATGCAGATCAGTCAAAGGTAGATGCAGTCTTGGAGTGGCCCAGACCAAAGACCTTACATGACATCCGAAGTTTCCATGGCTTGGTGTCTTTTTACCGCCGATTCATTAGAAATTTCAGTACTCTGATCGCCCCTATCACAGAGTGCCTCAAGGGGCGTGATTTTCAGTGGTCCAAGGAGGCAGAGGCCAGTTTTCAACTGGTCAAGCAGAAGATGACCGAGGCTCCAGTTTTGGCACTTCCAGATTTTGACAAAGTGTTTGAGGTAAATGTGATGCATCTGGCGTTGGCATTGGTGGTGTTCTGAGTCAGGCAGGTCGTCCGGTTGCTTTTTTCAGTGAAAAACTATCGGGATCAAAGAAAAATTATTCCACTTATGATATGGAGTTTTATGCCATAGTTCAGTCCCTGAAGCATTGGCGTCACTACCTAGTACAGAAGGAGTTTATTCTGTTTACCGATCATGAGGCCTTGAAGTACATCAATGGACAACACAAGCTGAGTAGATGCCATGCCAAGTGGATGGCATACTTGCAAGAATTCACTTTTACGCTGAGGCACCAAGCAGGGAGTTTGAACCGCGTCGCAGATGCCCTGAGCCGTCGTACCTTACTTCTCACCACCATGAGTACTAAAGTTGCAGGCTTTGAGACGTTCACAGATATGTATGCAGCTGATCCTTCCTTTGGAAGGATATTTCAAGAGGTAACTGAGGGTCACCGTCATGATTTTGTTTTGCATAATGGGTATCTGTTTCGTGGATTATAGTTGTGCATTCCAGATTGTTCATTAAAGCAGCAAATTATAAGTGAACTCCATAATGAGGGACACTTTGGCCGAGATAAGACCTTGGCCCTTATCTCTTCTGACTTTTATTGGCCCAAGTTGACTAGTGATGTGGCCCATTATGTGGACCGTTGTTATGTGTGCCAGCGGTCTAAGGGAGTTCTCACCAATGCGGGCTTGTACACTCCCTTACCTGTTCTTGAAGCTCCTTGGTTCGATGTCAGCATGGATTTTGTACTAGGCTTACCCCGCACCCAAAGGGCCTCAGATTCTATCTTTGTTGTGGTTGACAGGTTTTCCAAGATGGCTCATTTTGTAGCTTGCAGAAAGACTATGGATGCTGACCGGATTGCTCATCTCTATTTCAAGGAGATTGTGCATTTACATGGTGTTCCTCGATCCATCACTTCAGATCGTGATACTAAGTTCATCAGTCATTTCTGGAAGAGCCTGTGGGGGAAACTGGGAACACAATTGAATTTCAGTAGCGCCTACCAACCCCAGACGGATGGCCAGACCGAGGTGGTGAACCGAAGTTTGGGAAACCTCTTGAGGTGTTTGGCAGGAACGAAGCCGAAGTAGTGGGATTTGGCATTGCCTCAGGCAGAATTTGCCTACAACAGATCAAAAAACAGAACCACAGGTTTAAGCCTATTTGAGATTGTCGATAGTCAGAACCCATCCGGGGTGCTGGACTTAGCCCCAATTCCACGTATAGGTCATTTCAGTCCTAAAGCAGATGAGATGGCAAAGTATCTTCGGGGTATCCATGAGCAGGTGAAACAAACCATTCATGAGAGCAATACCAAGTACAAGACTCGGGTCGACAATCATCGTCGTCAGGTACTTTTTGATGTTGGTGATTTTGTTTGGGCTGTATTAACTCGTGATCGTTTTCCTGTTGGTGAGTATAATAAGCTTAAGGATCGGAAGATTGGACCTTGTGAGGTCGTGCAGAAGATCAATGATAATGCTTACAGGTTGCGCCTTCCCAGCCACTTGAAGACTTCTGATGTCTTTAATGTGAAACACCTGAGTCATTGTTTTGTGGATTCTGATGACACTACTCTGAACTCGAGGACGAGTTATTTCCAACACGGGGTGACTGATGCAGGGGGATCCGAGACAGATGAGCTGAGCTGTCAGATTGCACCTTGATGGCGCTGAGATACCATGAATTGGCAGATCAACGCAAAGGCGGGAATTGATTGTGACATGTTCCTCATTGGGGTCGTTTTGAGTATATTTCAGTCTTTTGGCCATAACTTTGGTTACAAGTGTTAGAATCGCGCATAAGACCCCAATCCGGAAAGCTCTTTTCGACACGCACGCTCTCCACATGAGCTATGCTCCATGTGGCCTTTTTTCAACCTCAAATTCTGCCATTTTCCCCTCCGAATCACTAGATTTAGATATTTTTTACTATTTATGGTAATATTCGATTATCAATTAGGAAGTCAATTTAAATCCGATTTAGGCCGGATTTTTTGGAGATTGCTTATTTTATTTCAAATTTCAATTTAGAGTGATTTTCGGGATTTTGCTATTTTTGGCAAAATTCGAATAAAGACGATTTTTTGCTATAACAGTCTGGCTTGTGGACTGATTTTGGATGGTTTTGAATTTATAATATTTTATTAAACCCTAGAGACATTTTTCTCTCTGGTTTTTTTGGGCGAATTTTCTCTTGTGAATCATTTGTTGGAGCGCTTGCAGGATAATCACTATTCTGTCTGGCGTCAAAGTTCCGGTATGATCCTTCAAGTTATTCTCTTAATTTTGACGATGGTTATTGCCATTCGGGTGTTGGTTCGAATGTGCTGGATTTCAGGAGAGTTGGGAGTACCAGAGTGACATTATATGGGTTTATGTTCTACGGCTCAAATCGTAAAGGAGTTCTGAGGTAGAGCTGGCTATGGTTTTTGGTGTAGTAGTTTGGAAAACATTTTCAATGTCAATAATTTGCATTTTCATCCTCTGTTTTCTTTTCCTTGTTTTTTTGCACTTCCTATGGCAGGATTTAAATCGTTAAATTTCCCAATTGCATCCTCAATATTTCCTCATTGCACAGTCATCCACAATAAGGAAGACGAAACCATTTACATATGGAAAACCAATAACAAAACAGAAGATGAACAATTTTCGTGCGATCGGATACCAACACAACCCTCGGTAACTGGAAAACTCATCATCAATTTATTCATAGATTCTTTACTGATTTTAACATCATATTAACAAAGGTAAAATATTTACGTATTGAGATAGCTATTAGCTAATTCTCAAATTAACTTTTAAGCTTTAAATTAAATCAACTTAAAATTCTTAAAAGAGTGAAATCAAATCAATTATCAAAAGGATTGACTCATGATTTTAATCTAATTTTTTGAATTAATCGCATTTTAAATTAGATGGTTGAAAAGAAAGCTGTCATCTCTTCTGATTTCCACCCTTCTGTTTATGCTTTCAATTTTAAGAGTTAAACATAACTTTAATGAGTCTGATTTTTAGGAATTATTGGCATTATAAATTACATGGTTGAAAAGTAAGTTTTTTTTAATTATAATTTCAACTTGTTGCCTAGAAAAAAAACATGTTGGTTAACATTTTACTGCATTAATATGACCCAGGGAAATTGTATTAAATAATATCTAACAACAACTATTGGATGCCCCACCACAAACATTCATTTAATACATATTTATTTGAATTCAACGAAACCAGCAGGAATCTACCTCCACACATTTATTTCACTTGTATTATACATTATTATCCTCAAAGGTATGGACAGTCAAGACTGATTTGACTAGGCGAAAGACAATCTAAAGCTTGGCATGGTAAATATATTAGCATATCCACGCCTTGCAATGGGCAAAGAAGCTTGGTATCCTACGATTCTTTTGTTCTGATATTTGAAAGGTCGTTGAACAAGCTGATGAGAACCTATTGTTTGAAATTCCTTCTTCGTCCCGGACTGCGAAGGAAGAGGATCCAATGGCTGCCATGTTCCAACATCTACAGGAACGTATATTGCCTTTTGGATATCTTGAATCATCTCCGTATTCGAATCGTATCGGTTGCTGGAGTTGAAGAACATTTGAAACACTTTCATGCATGATAAGTGGAGTTGCCTTGATTCCATCAAAGCATGTTTCATTAACTCTTTCCTCTTGTCCAGCAAGTCCCTGATAAAGGCGATCGAATCATCGATGTCTGCGTCTGGGTTTTCTTTCATGTATAGCAATACGTAGTTCATTTTCCCATCTTCCATCTCCTTCTGTCACCATTTGCTTCCATATGAATACAAAGAGTTTTTTTCATACGAAACAAAGGAAACGTTATGATAGAAATAGTTTTACAATCACCTGGTAGCTTTGAATGTCATTCAACAGACGACGTATAAGCATGGTCAGTTTGGTAACGGTCTCGTATTCGGTGAACGGGCTGATATCGGCATTCCTTAAGCTTGATTTCAAGAGGCACGAAGCTGGAAGAACCAACGTATGTGCAGCAATCGATGTCATGTCATTCCGAAGGTACTCATCAGTTGATGGTAATGATCCACTTTTGCTCCATTTGGCTTCCACAAGCAATGAATCGAATGTTTCACACCACTGCATCAAATTTACGATTTTCATTAGTATTAGCCCTGAGGACTATCCTCAATTTTTGTTGGACAAGTCCAATACTTAGTGTTGAAAGTCAAATGTCAAAATATACGGCTAATTTGGTCCAAGCAAATGGGGCGACTGATTTTTTTCTTAGGCAGCAGTTTTTGTTGAATTTGGTAAGAGAAAATTATTAAATTTAGTCCCTGCACTTTAGGGTATTTACAAGATTAGTCTTTAAGCTTCAACTATAAATATCATAACCCATTTAGCTTCAACTATAAATATCATAACCCATTTAGCTTCAAAATCATCCCAAATCATTATAGCTTTCTCTCAATACTAGAGAAATTAGAGAGTTTTGTTTTCTCCTTATTAGATTGAGAGAAGTTGTAATTCCTATTTTTTCATAGTAAAATTCTTCTATCATTGCTCGTAGTTTTTACTCTATATTATTTAGGAATTTTCCACGTAAATATTTATGTCTTCTTTATCTTATTTTTATTTTCTCAAATTATCGGTTGCTATTTTGCTCTATCCGATAGTCGTATTCCACAACAATTGGTATTAAGAGCCAGATTTGAGTGTGTAATATCTACTTATTGTCTTTGTGGTTTCCACCAAAAGATGGATCCTCCAACATAAGAAAGTAAGAAGGTATTACCCATTCTTTGAAGGTTCCAGAGAACTATTCACGATAGTGAAATAGTGTGAGCTATCCGTAATAGAAGCTATGGCAACGAAATTTGATATTGAAAAGATCAATGGGAGAAATTTCTCATTATGGAAATTGAAGATGAAGGTCGTCATGAAGAAAGACGGTTGTCTAGCAGCTATCAGTGAAAGGCCGATAGATTTCACAGATAACAAATGGATCGAAATGGACTGGAATGCTATGGTAAACTTTCATCTAGCATTAGCATATGAAGTATTGTCAAGCATCGAGGAGAAGAAGACAGTTAAGGAGATATGTGATCATCTCACAAAACTGTATGATGACACATCGTTGCACAATAAAATTTTCCTTAAGAGGAAATTGTACACTCTCCGGATACCAGAATCTACTTCAGTGACGGAGCACTTAAACACACTGAACACTTTATTTTCTCAGCTTACATCTTTCAGACGTACAATAGGAGAACAAGAACGTGCTGAGCTTTTACTTCAAAGTCTACCTGATTCGTATGATCAACTCATCATCAACTTGACAAACAGTAATGTCACCAGTCTAGTCTTCGATGACGTTGCAGCTGCTGTTCTACAAGAAGAAAATAGGCGCAAGAATAAAGAAGACAGACAAGTAAATCTACAACAAGCAGAAGCGTTTACAGCGATGAGAGGGAGATCAACAGAACGTGGCCAAAGCAGCAGTCACAAACATGGTAGATCAAAGTCAAAAAGCAAGAAGAATTTAAAGTGCTACAACTACGGAAAGAAGGGTCACTTGAAGAAGAATTGTTGGAGTCTAGGTAAAAACTCTAATCCACAAGGTAATACCGCAAACACTTCAGATGATGAAGATGCTCTATGTTGTGAAGCGTCAACCACCGTGGAAGGTAGAAAGAGATTTGCAGATATATGACTCATTGATTCGAGAGCAACATATCACATGACCTCAAGAAGAGAATGGTTCCATCATTATGATCCTTTCTCAGGAGGATCTGTGTATAGTTGCAATGATCATGCCTTAGAGATCGTTGGCGTGGGAACCATCAAATTGAAAATGTATGATAGAACAATTAAAGTTGTTTGAGATGTAGCACGTGAAAGGCATAAAGAAAAATTTATTATCCTACGGATTGTTGGATAATAATGCAAGCAATTGAAATACGAAAATGAATTATGAAGGTGTTCTATGGAGTGCTTGTGGTGATAAAAGGCGAAAAGATAGCAACAAACTTGTACATGCTGAAGGGAGAGAAGCCTCTATTGCCTCATGTAGTTCAGATTCTACAATTCTATGACATCAGAAACTTGGACACATGTCAGAACAAGGAATGAAAGTCTTTGTGAAGAAAAAGCTACTTCTAGGCTTAACAAATGTATCACTTATTTTGTGTGAGCATTGTATAACAAGTAAGCAGCACTGGTTGAAATTCAACATATCAAATTCTAGAAGCAAAAGTGTTCTAGAATTGGTTCATTCTGACGTATGACAAGCACCAGTTACATCCCTAGGCGAAACAAAATACTTTGTCTCATTTATTGATTACTACTCTAGGAGATGTTAGTTGTACCCTATTAAGAAGAAGTCGGATACTTTTTTCAACTTTCAAAAACTTCAAAGTGCGGGTAGAAATTGATTCTAGAAATAAGATCAAGTGCTTCAGAATAGATAATGGAGGAGAATACACAAGTGAAGAATTTGATGACATTTGCAGGAAAGAAGGAATCAAAAGATAGTTCACAGTGGCAAACACTCCTCAACAAAATGAAGTGGCAGAGTGGACGAACAAAACCTCTTTAGAAAGAGCAAGAGTAATATTGAGGGCTGCAGGCCTAGAAAAATCATTTTGGGCAGAAGCAGTCAATAATGCATGTTATTTGGTGAATCGAGATCCATCAACTGCAATAGAGTTGAAGACACCAATGGAGATGTGGACTGGTAAACCAGCTGATTATTCAAACCTCCATGTATTTGGAAGTATTGTGTACGTGATGTACAACTCCCAATAAATTTCAAAGTTGGATCCAAAATCCAAGAAATGCAAATTCTTGGGGTATGTTGATGGTGTAAAGGGGTATCGCTTGTGGGATCCCACTACCCGCAAAGTAATCATCAACAGGGATGTTATCTTTGTAGAAGATAAACTACAAAGAAAAGAAGAAGATAGTAGCGCTGAAAAGTCAGAGACTACACATATACATGTAGAAAAGGAGTTTGAACAAGGAGTTTGAACAAGAGAGTTCTGAAGCTCCAACAACTCGTCAATCAGATCTTGGATGCTTCACTGTGGAAGATGGCGATGCAAGAAGAAACTGAAGCCCTTCATAAAAATAATACATGGGACCTTGTGCCACTACCACAAGGATGGAAGCCAATTGGTAACAAATGGGTCTTCAAAATCAAGCAAAATGGTAACGATCAAGAGGAGAGGTATCATGCAAGACTTTTGGTCAAAGGATATGCTAAAAAAATGTATTGATTTTAATGAAATCTTTTCTCCTGTGGTTCGACTAACAATAATTTGAGTAGTCTTGGCAATGTGTGCTACATTGAACTTACATCTAGAGCATCTAGATGTTAAAACATCTTTTCTTCATGAAAATCTTAAAGAAGAGATTTACATGCTCCAGCCTGAAGGTTTTGAAGAAAAAGAAAAGAAGAACTTGGTTTGCAGGTTGAACAAATCTTTGTACGGTCTAAAGCGGGTGCCAAGATGTTGGTATAATAGATTTGATTCCTTCATTAAGTGCCTTGGATATAACATGCTTAATACAGACCCTTGTGCTTATTTCAAGAGGTTTGGTGATAACGATTTTGTTATATTGTTGTTGTATGTGGAATGACATGTTGGTTCCAGGACCTAACAAATATCATATTTAAGAATTGAAGGCACAACTGGCTAGGGAATTTGAAATGAAGGACTTGGGATCAATAAACAAGATTCTAGGGATGCAAATTCACCGAGACAGAAATAATATGAAAATTTGGATTTCACAAAATAATTACTTGAAGAAGATCTTGTCACGATTAAACATACAAGATTGTAAGGCAATTTCTACCGCTCTTCCTATTAACTTCAAAGTATCCTCTAGTATGAGTCCTAGCAGTGAAGAAGAGATGATGGAGATGTCTCGAGTGTCGTATGCATCGGCAATGGGAAGTTTAATGTTCGTTATGATATGCACAAGACTAGACATTGCACAAGCAGTGGGAGTGGTTAGTAGGTACATGGCGAATCCAGACAAAGAGCATTAGAATACAACAAAGAAGTACAAGGTCGAAAGAATGTTGTGAAGATATGATTGTTCCAATCAAATCTTCAAGTGGGAGATTGTTGAAAGTCAACTGTCAAAATACACAACTGATTTGGTCCAAGCAAATGGGGCGGTTGATTTTCTTCTTCAAGTAGGCATCAGTTTTATTGAATTTGGTAAGGGAAAATTACTAAATTTAGGCCCTACACTTTAGGATATTTACAAGATTAGTCCTTAAGCTTCAACTATAAATACCCTAACCCATTTAGCTTTAAAATCATCCCAAATCATTCTAGTTTTCTCACAATACTAGAGAATTTAGAGAGTTTTCTTAAGAGTTGTTTTCTCATTTTTTATCAAGGGAGAATTGTCATTGTTTTCTCCTTGTTAGATCGAGAGAAGTTGTAATTCCTATTTTCTCATAGTAAAATTCTTCTACCATTGCCCGTGGTTTTTATCTTATATTATTTAGGAGTTTTTTCACGTAAAATACCATTTCTTCCACGTTCTGCCGACGGAGAATCCCACAAAATTGCAACAATTTGTTCCGGTCATTTCTTGGTCGCCGTTTGATCTTGTATTTGCACAAGGACAATACGATCCCGTTGGTATATTACTACAATATTTATTTTAATCAATTTCTTTGGGTCATATTCTTCACAAGGTAAGTCAAGTTCTTAAATTGCTTGCCGCTTTTTGAGTGTCAAGATCCATAAACCCAGATCTCTAAAGTCTTGAACTTGTTGCTAGGTTCTTGAGTGACTTGGGTTCTTTTTGTTTTGTTCTTAACAAGTAGATTTAGTTCATTGCAAAGGTTGTTTTAGCATTTCACTACCGATTCAGATATTTTCTCTCTCTCTCTATCTCTATCTCTTCGACTTTTTCCTTCTTCGCATTTTTCACATTCTAGCTTCTGTATGTATAGTTTTCATTGTCTCCTTTAACAAAGTAGATCTATTTTCATCTAATTTTCTCGTTTTATTTGTTCTTTTTTATTAACCTAAAATATTCATAATCATATTGTTGTGTTTGTTTTAGTTTTTAGCTTGCATTTTCCGCTTTAAACGTGAATGCTGATTCTTTTTCCGTAAAGAAATAGTATATAGTTT